TGTTTACAGTATCTACACATTTTATACGTGTAAATATTTAAAACATTTTTTTTTACTTACATCGTGAAATTTTATAACATAGGGTTTACATATTATAAAATAAGTATTAGTTTGTATGATTATTTTTAATTTTTGTATAGTTTCTAAGTCATCAATTCATAATTTAAATTTAAATCCACTGTTTAACTTAAAGAATTTTACTACTACACGTACTACATAAACCATTTTTTCTATTTAGCATAAACGTAATATACGACATTATAATATAATGTACGACGAAATCGTCCATTTTAACAGTAAAGATAATAATAAGATAAATAATAGTGCACGCATAAGTTATCAATAGGTATTGGTACCATAACTATGTTTTATGTATTTTATAGTTCATATCTTCATATTTCTATAAAGTTAATTAAATATTGAAATCTCTTATTTGCTATAGAAAAAATAGCTATTGTAATTTTTACCAATTATTAGTGGTAATAAAAATAAAAGTTGGTGTGTTTATAATTTCCTTCTATTTTTTGTCTTATTAAAAGCGTAAATAATCATAGACATAACAATTAAATGTGCAGTATATACAGGTGGTAATTCAGAAAATAAAGTTTCTTAATGAATAATATTACGAAATGTAATTGTATTTGTTTAACAATTATTATGCAACCAAATTGTATTTTAAAATAAAGAATGGAAGTGTTGAGTCACTTAGAGTTTCTTTTAATTGTGATTTAATGTAGTTAATGTAGAAAATATTATTATACGAACTAACGATATTTAATTTATTATTATATTTATTATATATATATGCTAATTTGATATATTATATTAAGTACGATAAATAGGTATAAATAAATTTTACAAGGATTTTGTATAGTTCATAATAATCGATGAAAACGAAAAATCAAATTATGTAAACTAGATTTATTTTCGATTGACGTAGTAAAATAGTTTTATAGATTTTTTTCTTTCATATTTTATTGGACATTTTTTCTACACGTTTAATAACGTTATATAAATACCACACGAATATATTATCATCACATTATTAATAATGCAATTATCATCGGTGATTCATTGTTGCTCGGTTAAACCGTATTTTTTTTAACTATATCTACAGGTACATCTGTATAATAATATAGGTACTTGGCTATACATTTACTAATATGTGAAATAAAAACATTTATAACATCTTTGTACTCGTACTTAGTAACCGTATAAATCAGTTCCGCCCGATTAAAAATGTAACGTACCGGCAGGTGATGCTGGGTTATGATAAACACTCACGGTGGAAGGTGGAAATTAGAAAAAAATATTACTAAGCAGTGAATCACGAAAATATGTATAAAAAAAATACTTGAATTTATTATACGGAAAAGATTAACGGTTATAATTGCTGCTGTAAATAACCCTTTGTATCACGTGATTACATCGCTGTAGAAAATAATTGAAAACTGATTTAATATATTAAGAACCCATTTTTATTAAATATTATATTGCGTTAGTTATCTTGATGTTTTGTTGTTTCCATTACGATTTGTAACTTTGTTTCTTAAGATGGTAATAATTGCTGCTATATAGCTAATCACTTGTATTACGCGATGAAAAATAATTGAAAACTGATTAAACATATTTAGAACCAATTGGAATTAAATATTATATCGTGATAGAAATCTCGACGTTACGTTGCTTCGATTACGATTTGTTTCTTTTTGTTTTTTAAGATATACTCGAGTGAACATATTTAATAAACTGTACGCGTTAAATGCAGACATTGTTTCTTTGTTAAGATGCAAAAATAAAATTTGGTAAAACGAGAAATCAAAATAATAACACAATCGCAGTGCAATCATTGCAGCAAGGTTAGTTCCCCTATTTATTTCGGGTACGCCCCACGACTTCCGTGAGATTCATCATGTAACTGTTTCACTTGTTAACCGACGCACACGCACACGCACACTCCAATATGTTAAGAAATCGAGCTTTTCCGTAGCAGTCTTGTGTCCAACCGCGCGTAAATACGTATGAACCATATACCGCCGGTGGCACATCACGGAGGTGACGACGACGCGACGGCAGCGATCGCAGAACGTATAATACGCGCACCGCATGGCTATTGTTTCGTTAATTTTCTTTTTATTCTTTTTTTCGGAAACGTTCTCAGCCGCGAATTCCGCAACTCATTAAAGACGGAACAACGTCGTAATAATAGTAAGAGCAAGGGGGAAAAAAAAAATCAAAGCGGCCAGATGTATAGAGCAGCCGGTCTATTGCACGGCGACCGTCCGGTAGCAACTGCAGCTGGTGTGTAGACGCGCGTCGAGAGTGACGATTTCGTCCAGTCGTCGTTACAGTCGGAAGGGAAAAAAACGACGACGACGACGACGAATTCGTGCACACAACCGTATCGCGCGTACTGGCTAGTGGGATTTATCGTACGCCCTGGATCGTTGTGCTTTGGACCGTGAAGGAAAAATATTATGGTTTTTTTATTTTTTTTATTTTAATTTTTTGTCGCCAACCGTGAGCACGTCATTACCGTTGGTCCGTAACGTTATAAGTGTATGCTTTCCACGGCATTGGGATATTTTTTCACTACCCCCCCCACCCCAAGATGCATGTACGGTATACGTGATGATGTATACGGTAATGTACTCGGGATGTTACGTTTTTTCGTCTTTTTACGTTGTATAATAATAACAAACCAACGCGCATAAAAGTGCGCGCAACCAATACACTATGCAGTAGGTCGTTATATCCTGCCGGAATATTGTTAAATTTGCGGCCAACCGTCGGACAGTCGTGGTAAGAACGTGTTATGAAAACGAATAAAACAAAAAAAAAAAAAAAAAAATGTAAAAATTAAGGAGAACTTTTTTTTTATTCTTATTTTTTTATTTAATAAATAAGACATTCCTAGCCTATGGCTATTTACATCTATGGATAATAAAGAACATAAGTTTGTGGCTATTTTAAAAGGATAGTTGAATATAAATAAAATATTAGTAAATGAACAGATGTATACAAATAAGTGAACTAAGTAATTGTTTAATTTAATTGATTACAATAACTAATACAAAATGATATAACAACAATAAACATATACAGATTAGAGACTGGAGGTTGAGTTTAACTAAATAGGTCGTGAGGGTGGCCGCGTTTTAGACGTCGTAAACATTAAGGGGAACAAAACCCGTTGACCCGTTTGCTCGTAATAAACCAGGCGGTGATTGGTAAATGTTCAACGACATCTTGAGACGTTTCCATACGTGCTTCTTGTACCATAAGATCATCGGAAATTACAATAATTAAAATCGTACGATCGCGTGGTTCGAAGCGTTACCACGCGTACCGCCCAGTCGTCTAACAATAATATCGAACGGCATTTTGCGACATTAACGATCGTGCTTATTGTTTTACAATAGTTTCGATTGACTAAGTTTTAAGGGACGAACGCGTAATGCGAAAATAATAGTAACGCGCATTTCTACGAACGTCTTTACGGTTCACGTAATCAACGTTGTCCTCGTCGGAATCGGGTCGCGATGGTTTACCGTTATGGAAAATACGACACTCATCTGCCTCGGTTACACATTTAAATAGATATATTATGTGTTTTGTATGATCGAACGAGTTTATTTCGATAAACAATACGCGCGTACCGTAATACTTATTTTTGGACCCATTCAACTGTCGGCAAGAAATAATTAAAAATAAAGCCGTTCAATAAATTAAACATACTCAAACATTAATAATTACAGTGATATTGATACGATGATGAAACGTATTAATAAAAAATATTAAGAGTTACAGTCAGTAACAGTTTATTGGTTATCCATTTTTAATCGATCTCATTTTAAATGCGAGATCACGGAAAAATATTTTCTATGATTTTAGTGAAATTCCACCTATGCCGTTTACTACAGCATTTAATCCATTCGAATCGATTTTACAGACCCCCTATAAACCATCTCAATCATTTCACAGCTTCTACTCTCCAAAATATAATAAATACATTCAACGGCATTCGTTATGGGTTTCACTTTTTTAAAACAACCCCCTGCTGTATCGATTATTTTAAACATAAACAGCAAGCAGGAAGTGATGTGATAAATAATCAAATCTGGTTACTATTCACTTGGAACTATTATAGTATCTTTGGTTGCCGTATGAATACATGACACGTCTTACCTATTAAATTCGCGCACGTTATCCATTGTCAATACCGCAGTAACTATCTGAATCATATTATTATCATCATAGAAATATATGGTATCTTTATGAACTGTATAAATTGTAATTTACTCACTAAGCCCACTTAAAAAAAGAAGAAAATAAGCCACTTACGATTAAAAAATGGCTTATTGTAATTTATTAGTGTTAAATCATAAATAATAGATCTGTTGATTTTTGTCACGAACGATTATTACAATGCACATTTTAATCAAGTCGACTAGGTAACTAAAAGTTAATTAACGTCGTATTTTAATAGATAAAAGTCATAGCAAATATTACTCTAAAAACTGATTATAATTATGTAGGAAATCGTAAAATGATGTTTGTGCAAATGCGAATGCTATGGACGGGCAATACGTATATTCAAGGTAGGTATCTGAACATAAGATATTTCGTAGAGTAAATAGTGATGTTGGGTGTCAGATTAGTTTAGGTTTATTCGACTGACAGGGCTTGTATACGCCATTATGTCACTGGTGTATTTAAGATTTTGCTGAAAGGGCATCATACTTACTGATTGTTTTAGTAACAACATCTACATATGTCTTATTATAACGTAGTTCAATCGAGATAAATAAAATAAAATATTCTAAAAGATTATATAAATGAAAAAAAGAAACTTTTAAAGGGTTCTCCATACATCTCTGGATACCTTTCTCTCACACTAAAAGACCATAGGTATGTTATGTATATGCGTGTAGATACATAGTTATGAAACACTCGACCGTTTTGACGGAGCATAAATATTTTGTTTTCAATTGACGCAGAATATGACGAGCGAAAGGAATATACCTCACCTGAGAGACATATTCGGCAGCGGTGCCGGTGAAGATCACGGTTTGTCGGACGAGCTGCAGCGGCTGGACGTGAAGGGCGACGACCGGAACTCGTTGGGCGGCGTGAGCGCGGGCGGCACCGACAGCGCCATATCAGTGGGCTCGGCTAGCGAGGAGGACCTGTTGCCGGCCAAAGGGACCAAGAAGAAACGGCAGAAGAACGGCGGTGGCCGGCAGACGAAGAACGCGTCCACGTTCGAGGACGACGTCAAACACCTGGAACGGCATCTATCCATGAAGAAGACCATCAGGAAGAAGATCATGCGGGACCTGCAGCAGGCGTTCGTCGAGGACCCGGACGAGTTCAAGGTGGAGGACATACCGCCGGAGCAACTCAAGGCCGAGCTCAACTGCAGGAGCCTGAGTTTCGGCACGCCCGGCAAGAAAAAAGGTACGTAAGAATTTCGCAGAACATCGCTAGCGGACGAGTTTAAAGGTGTTTGATGCGGCGCGATTACAATTTTGGCCACGCTGGTACGAATCGGATAATTTTTAAACGAGCGACTGCCGCTTTATAGAGTTCGCCGTAATATATTGTACGGTACGAGTTGTTGCGTCGTTTCGGGTGACGTTCGTGTGCCCTGGCTAATCGCGTTTCGCCAGTGCCGTAGCAACCAAACATTGCGCCCGGTGCGAAACTTCAAAATGCGCTCTTATGTATTTTTAATTTAAAAACATTATGCTTATTAGATATTATTTTCAATGATAGCTTTTATTAACACGAAGGATGTTAATGATTTTGTAAACTAAACATGCGACATTGACCGTTGTAATTTTTAACGTTAAATACAAGACTTTCATTTTTGCACTCTCCCAGGAATTGCGCCCGGGGCGTAGGCACCTCTCGCCACCCTGTTGCTACGGCACTGTGTTTCGCCCGCACGAACTTAAACGCCCCCCCCCCCTCCTCCCCCGAGACTGGCATAACCCGACCGGGACGCGAGTCCCGAAACCACTCTACGGTCGTTGTACCGCGTGCGTTGTTTGTTTAGACAAGTGTCATGACGCGTGGGGTACGCGATTTTCGAGACGTTTTTCCACTCCCGGTCCCGCCTTAGTCGGTAACCACGACGCCTACCTGATGAACGATAATCGCGTGCGCGAACGAAGATAGTATTATTATTGTAATCGTCTTTTCGAATCAATTTACTCGCGATCGATTCGCGCCGATACGCCTATACGTACAGCGCGTACGCGCATTAATAACGACTGTTGTCGCCGTGCGCAAATACGTCTTTCTAATAAAAAAAAAAAAACATTTTGTGCAACGACCCATTCTCTTTCGGCCACAATATCGCGTTATACCGGCCATGGTGTTGGATTTTTTTTTCACCCGTTGAACTTGACATTTCGACTGAATTCCATACTGTCTCGTTAACCGCCGCGGTCGATTCGACGATAATTTTTATGGGTGCACGCGACATTCGCGTTTCGCAACGACGGTTTTCTTTCCTTTTTCAGTTTTTTTTTCGCCGTTTACACCTACCTTATAGTGTTGACAATCCGTAATAGAAACTTAAAAAATGTTCATCGTTATAGAGAACTATCGTGCGTAGTACCGTGGTACCATCGCTGTACAAGAAATAGGTTAATAATACGTAATAGGGATCCAAGACCATAAAATAAACAAATAAACTAAAAATGTGTACAAACCTTCGAGAAAACATGAAATAGGTATGCAATAAATGTACGATGATTTAAATTTTTTACTTTTTTGCGCTGTAACTAAAAGTCTTAGGCAGCAACGTTTTTATACAGAACATATAGGTACCATCTCTTTTATAAACGATATTATTTTTTAATATTTCATCAGTTTATTTGGGAGAGAAATCGAAACAATGATAATCGTTAAAATATAAGGGACGTACTCAGAAGAGTAAATACTTATACGCAAACGTAATGCTTCACACGGTTACAGTGTCGTAATTTCAGTTTTTTTCTAGTGTTGGGCAGCGGTATGCTCTTATTAATTGCCGACTCAGCGGCTCATTTTACCAAAGTACTGATTAATGTGTGGATAGGGCGACATCAGTACAGTCCAAAAATATAATGATAATTTATGCTTTATACTTACATAAGTATCTGATTTATAACATGTCAATGGATCTATAAAAAACGTATTTATATTTATAATAATGAGTCGATTTCGGAATAGCTCAACTCTAGACCGTGGCAAACGCATGAGCTGCTCCCCCCCTAATAACGTCACTGCACGGTCAAGATATAGTTTTATCAAAATTCGATAGGCCCTATACTTACTACAACATAAGTATTAATGGAATAACAGAGTCGGCAAGGCATGTGTCGTGCTTACTTTGTAGTACTAAAATTACGCCGAGAAACACGACATTTTATTCTTGAGCATCAAGATTAACTTTATTAATTAATGGTTAATATTAGCCGTGTGGTTTGTAATAAATGTGTGATTAATAATATTGTTACTTAAATTATTGGTATTTATCAAATGTAATGATGAAATCAGGGCGACTCGTTTATTTTTAATATTGTATTTAAATCGACATTAAAAGGCTATAGTGTTTTAACTATGATGTAGAGGTACATGCTGTTTTATGCAATGTGCAGAAAAGACTATAAACAAAATTACAGATTTATTATATTATTTTTATTAAATTTTAGTTATTCTTTGTGAAACACAAGTAGCAATTGTTTCGTTGGTCAAAACCTTTCTTTCCTTCGATTTAATTACATTTTGTATGGCGAATAAGCTTTCACGAATTATGACGAAAATTATGAAAGCATAAGGAATATTGTAATTTTTAAAACATATGTAGTTTGTTTATTTTAATTTCTTACAACCACCTTTTATAAATAGTAAAAAATTTTTTTGTACAATTTTTCAGTTTTATATAATTTCAATTTTTTAAGCGTGTTATTAAAATTTGGTCAACGTACCATTTTTGGCACGCGTGCCATAGGTTCGCCATCCCTGCTGTATAGTAACACGCGCGCGCGTGTGTTTGCAAATTAAAGTGGCAAAATCATTCATTGCTAGCAGTGGCGTAATAGTGGGGGGGGGGGAAAATGCCCCTCTGACCATTTTTTGAGAGATAAAGTTATAATTTTGCCCCCTCCCCAGATAATCCAATAGTACAAATAGTACCTTTTATTAATAAACTCTTATGGATATTATTTAACAATATTGGTATCTAGTACATGCTACCTACAATTTATGTTTATCTAAATCATAAAATGAGTTAAAAGACTTATGTAAAATCAAACAATTAGATATTGTGTATAAAATACATACAATAAAAATATGTTTTAACTGGTGAGGGGAAGGGGTGTCAGGGTTTTGGTAATAATAAATATATTATATTGCCCCACCCCTAGGTTTTTTCCCAGTTACGCCACTGATTGCTAGTGTATCGAATAAATGAAAGATTTGTAATTTATCAACCTTTTGATGTCAAGAATATATTTCTCAATTGATATTTTATGGGAAAACTAATATCATTAGTCCTCCCCCCCATAAACTGTTTATGGTGTATTGTATAAGGGGGTACAATGAGGTTAAATCATGTTGAAACTCGTGTTTTGGAACAAGTCGGTCGGTCGGTGGCGGTTCTTCTCTCAGAACTGTGTAGCGATCACGCGTTAGAACTGGTCCAATCCACCCATTATTTATCGTTTACGCTTGAACGTGTTATATCTCAATCCTTAACGATATGTACACGAAAAGGAGAACCTATTTAACGAGATATTAACGATGATAATTTCCCGTTCAATTTTGATGTAAAATATACGACTCGTGTTTTTGAACGTGCTCAAGTTTTTTATAATGTTCGGTTTCAGGTAAAATGAAGTCGGAATCGAATTTCCTTGATTTCCTACGAGGCGGCAATGATTCAGCGATGACCGGCCGTCGGTACAACGCGGACGAAAGCGATTCGGGACACGGGTCGCCGACTAGAGAATTGGATGACGATGAGCCGTCGATACGCAAGCCGAGCTTTTGGAGACGTTTTACCATCAAAGGTGCGAAGAACAAGCGGTAGGCGAGAGTACCGTATGCGCGCGCATAAGTCAACTCTGTGATCCCAAAATAACTATTATTATTTTATTATTATAAAATATTTTTAATATTGCGAATATCAGTGCGTGTACGGCTTTTTTTTTTCGCTAACCCGTTCTTTGATCATAAGAAGGAGAGTCTGTAAAGGGAATCTATGGTTTTATTTTTTTTTACAACTATTGATTTACTACACCGGGGTCTTATTTATATTTTTAACAATATGCTATGATGTATTTGGGTACATAATCACATGTATTGTAATATATATATATATATATTATACATTAAAGTATATAGTTAAAAAAAAATATTGTATTTTTACTTCATTAAAATATAGTAATCTTAAAATTAGGTACACAATATATACATCAGTATAGTATAATCATTATTACCTATATTGTTTTTAAGGAGTTAAACGTATTATTATTTAAGAGTTCTCAATGTAAAATTGTGATATATAATTATATGCAATTTAATAGGTTATCGAATCTAAAATATATTCTATGCGCTAAGGCCGATAATTAAATGTTTCGAAAAAATCTAAAAGATTGTAAATAATTTACTCTCTACCATTATGTTTATAGCAAGTTTCTTTACATAACTTTTTTATGTAAAAATAATTTACTAGCATACGTTTTGTTTTAATTTTATTTTGGGATAGGACTATTACTTCTAAGTATAAGTGATCTTTATATTGTATTCTTATTATAAACTCAAGATTATGCTCATAATCTAGCATTAAATAAAATCATAAAATTAAATATCATTAATTAAAAACATATTTTATGCAATTTCTTGTTGTGTTAAGATGGTCGTCGTTAAACCTGAACTTGATGTTCCAAATTAAAATATTTTATATTTAAATTTTTATAGTAACAAGTATAAGTTCATTTTTAATTTAATAATTGTAGCAATACATTAAACATATTTCTTAGAATTTTAATAAACTATAAAATAACATACAACAACAGACATAACACATGTACTAAATTGTTTATTTTGTACGATACAACAAATCAAATCAAAACCATTACATTGGTCTAATCCATTGATATAAATCATCATTATAAAATCTATATAAAAATACCTTGACAATAATACAATTATTAAAATTTAAAAGTATAAAAAAATTTGATCTGTAAACACCAAAAAAAAAAAAAAAAAAACAAAGAGGTACGTGAATAAGTACCAGGCAAGAATATTCTAACATATATATATTTTATTTACATAATTATTTTTATAATTATAATATCATATATCAATTTATGAACCAAATTCTTCAGTATCTGAATCAATTTTGCTAAATTCAAAAGATCCTCTGCCATCCATTTGCAAGTAATACTGAAATGAATAAGAATATGAAAATCATTAGAACAGTAAAAAAAATTATTAGACTTATAAAGTTTAAAAAAAATTAGTATAAAATTATAATAGAGTAGTTATATTATTATTATAAATGATCCAACATATACGAGACTACATAACACTACTAGTCTACTAAAAAAAAAAAAAAAATAAAATAAAATATTTAAATATTAACATTCATTTTATTATTTGACTGTGAAACTTAATTTTCTAAAAAGCTAAATTAGCTAAATAAGGTCAAAATATGTTGAATAACTGAGAATGCCAGATCATCAATATTCTATCGTACCCAAGTTTTCTTTTCAACTATACAACTTAAAAGAATTACATTTTAGTAATATTTATCAAGATATTTTACTGTTATATAAATCTACTGATTTTGTAATATATTTTAATTTATAAATAATGATGCTTTTTTTTTAAAGAACTAATCATTTAAAATAATATACTTACGTCATGATGTTTCCACAAAGATTTACGATGGCTAACAGTAAAAAGTGTAATACCCACATCACGACAATATTGATACATAGAGCCCTCTACATCTACACTAACAGCACTAGTACATTCATCTAATATTGCAAATTGTGGTTGATGATAGAATAATCTAGCCATGGCAATACGTTGTTTTTCACCACCAGACAAAACATCCATCCAATCTGCAACGGTATCCCAACCTTGATCTCTCTGTAGTAAATATGATAGTTGTACACGTTCGAGATGTTGGGCTATGTCTAAATCAGTCTTTCGACGACGTTGCATTTCTTCCCTTAATAGAAAAAAATTATGTACAATAAAATTAATCATATATTATTTAATTTCACCTATGAATATATGTCATATACACATACTTAGTATGAGGATAAGAAACTTGGTCTCTCAATGTACCTAATGTCATATATGGTTTTTGTGGAATGTAAAAAAGTTTGCCTTTAGGAGGTTTTGTCAAGGTTCCACCAAATAGAGGCCATAATTCGCCAAGAATTCTGAACAAGGATGATTTTCCACAACCATTTGGTCCACAAACTAACACATTCATGCCAGATTTAACTTCAAATGATAATTCTTCAACTAATACATCGCCATTTGGAGTTACAAGTGGTACTTTGTCAAACTTAATCATATTATCTTTGGTTATAATACGACCAGAATTTGGTATCAGTTTCTTTTCTTTTAAAGTATTATTATCTGTTAACATGGTCCGTATATAGTGTCCTTTGTTGAGATCATCCAGTACAGTCATTATCTCAGTCACTCTGGCAGTGAATCCAGCTAAACGTGTCATGTCACGACCAGCTAATACCAAACGACCAATGGCTTCAGCTAATTTTACTAACATGCGGCCCATTGTATAATAATTCTGTAATTAATTAATTTATATTAATTTATAGTTAAAAATTAAAACATTAGATCCAACACCTAGTGTTGGATTCAGTTCGTAATTCGAATTTGAATATATTCTTAATTAAATAATCTAAAATTAATTTTCTATACTTTATAGTTTATAGTAAATATCATAGTAGTATTAATTATTATTATTTTTTATATTATTAAATTATATTTAATTGTATTTATTTATTATATCCCAAGCAAAGGGCATAGAAATAAAAGACAATCAACATCTAATAGCAGTTGCTTACGCGGATGACATAGTCTTATTAGCCGAAACAGATAATGACCTAAAAAACATAACAGATATACTGCTAAAGGAGGGAAAAAAAATTGGCTTAAAAATTAATGAGACAAAGACAAAACACATGATAATATCTAGACAAAATGACAGATCAGATTCCTTGAAAGTAAATGAGTACACATTTGAAAGGGTAGAAAATTTTAAATACTTAGGTGCAGATATTAATGAAGATGCCACAAAGAAGTGAAAAGATGGTTCATTGCAATAAACAGGTGTTACTATGGACTATTACCATTGTTCAGGTCGAAAATATTATCAAGGAAATCCAAAGTAATAATATATAAAGTCCTAGTCAGACCAGTAGCTTTGTATGCAAGCAGTACTTGGGTGACGACAAAGTCAGATGAAAAAAAGTTAGAAGTGTTTGAGAGAAAGATATTAAAGAAGATATTTGGCCAAAGAAAAACAATGAAGGAGAATATGAAATACGTAGCAATAAAAATTTAGAAGAATTATATAACGAAACCAATATTATTGGGACCTTGAAAAGCGCACAAATAGGCTGGGCTGGACTTGTATAGGGATCAAAAGGACTAATCGGACAAATAACTGCATGAAAACCAAACGCAAAAAGACCCAGAGGGCGACCAAGACAAGGATGGTTAGATAGAATAAAAGAAGACCTGAAGATATTGGGAGTAAGGAATGCTGAAGAAACGCACAAGATAGAGAAGATTGGAGAAAATATGTTGTTGCGGCAATGGGCCTTAAAGGTCTGTAAAAAGCCAAAGAAGAAGATATTATAACGATTAGGTATGATAAAATAAAATAAATCCATGTTGAAGCATGAGATTATTTTTGTAAATATCTATAGGTAATATTATCACAGATTATACTTCATATATGTGATAATATGATCAGAACCATAAATATTTTTTAGGAAAAGTGAAAAGGAAAAATATAAATGCGGTTTTTACTCTAAATTTTTAAAAATTGTATCAGAAATAATAGTATTGGATGTTAATAAATAATTATTATAATTTATTATATTTTTTTTCTTTTTAATAAATATCGTTAATTTGATGAATATTTACAATCTATACAAAGTACATTAAGTAAATGTGTGGAAAAAGTGAGGCAGTAATTAAAAGTGAACACTGAGAAAGCATTTCACATTAGAAAAACTTAACAATGACATTATATATTCGTAAGCGTATTAAATATTGTACAATGTAACATTTTTATAATTTCAATCTATTTATAAAAGGAAAAAAAAATGATGGTTCATGTTTTGATTTGATAAAAAATTTTAATAGTTTGGGTTCGGTTTAACACTGAAAAATCAGGTTTGACCTATCACTAGCAATTGAGTATAAGTAGCTTCTTATATGTTATATACAATACATTTTACTTAGAATGAAATCATTAACTCACACAAAGAACATTAAATCAGGAACAAATTATTAAAAAATTCAATTTAATTATATAAAATGTTTGGATAAAAGTCATTAATGAAAATATTTGTATAAAAACTTATTTAAAGAATATATATTATTAAATAAGTATTAATTATTATTTAAATGTAATATATACATATAGTATATCATACACATACATAATTTCACAAGTCCAAAAATAAATATCATAATTTATTTTATTATTATATTTTTGAAATTGTTATTTAATTAGTCCAATTTTTAATTTAATCAAAAAATAGAAAATAAATAAATAAATAAAAATAAAAATTTACAAAGTGAGTAAAAATTGAGCAAATTAGAGGAATTAATTTTTAAATTTTAATTTAAATACATTTTTTTTTAAATATTTGTTTTAGAAACTTAATCAGTATTTATTAACACAAAAAGTAAACATGATGAATATGAACAAAATTACATGATAAAAAATACTGTCAGTTGATAGAATTATACAATATAAAAATAATTGTTTTATTAGTTTAAGCAATTATTTAAAAAGGTCTTAAGATTAATGTTTTTTGAAACAATGTGGAAGATTGTTCAAAGTGACATTAGGAAATAATTGTTGAAATGCCCTACACCCTACATATGAATATTTGCAAAATTTAAAACTATTAAATATTATTCCATACAAGGCAGAATAAATGAATGCCTAGTCATCGACATTTCAAAACCAATATAAGGCAACAGCAACGGTGATCGAGCAGTCGCAGGGTGTTGTGGCTAATGACAAGTTTTGATTGTTTAATTTTTATTTGAAGTTTATTCTAATCCATTTTTATTTTAAACAAAATACTCGTGTTTCATTTCTATTTTTTAATGAATTACGAATATCAAATTTCTAGTGTATATATTTGAAATGTTTGTGGCGAAAAAACACTTTTGTTAAGTTGCAAGACATTTCTGTATTTACTTTCTCATCCAGTACTTGTTATAGTAGGGAGTTGAGAAAGAGTACAATTTAGTCTAAGTTAAAGAGATCTAACCCTAGAAACTCACATTGATGATCTAAGACTCAATAAACCAAAAATGTATCTGTTATATACGTCAAGCCTTTGCGTGGCGTATACAACATAATCAAACAAAATACATATTTTAAATCAAAGTTGGTCTGTATAGAGATATTTTTTTTCCATAATACTCTGTAAAAATTAATGTAAAAATATTTAAAAAATGTATTTTATTTGTAGAAATATAAGAGTAATAAGTGTTTTTAGTAATTATTTATTGAATTTGGGTTTTGATAAATTCAAATAAGGGTTCCAGTTTAAAAATATTTAAAAGGTTCTGGTAATAGGCTTTGCTTTAAGGTTAAATATGTTACATAATGTAAGAATATAGTGTTTGTGTTGAATTCCTTCGAGAAATAATTATTGTTTTAATATTATACTTACTCGAAAACGTTCATTTTGTGAGACATGGGCCAAAGGTGAACTGGTAGTCATAAAAGGTATACTAACAGCATAAAATCCTACAACAGTAGCAATATCTAAAAAAAAAAAAAAAATAAAATAAGAAGTAAATTAAAAAATAGTCTTGTGTTGTAAAAATGTATAAAATTTTAACTCACATTTTCCTACAATATTATCAATAAAACCAACATACACTCTAAATTCGAGGAATTTCCTTAAATGTGTAGTCTAAAAATATTTAAAGTACATCATTAAAACAAGAAATATTATTTAAAAGCAAATAACTATTATAAACTAGTATTAAATTTGGTTGTTTATAATTCACATTCATAGTTCGGTGTTCATCAAATATCAAAAATGTTCAGATTTATAGAATAGACTGTAATTGTATACATTTAGGTTTTTATATAAATGTACAACCTCAACTATTTTATCCTATTATCATACCAAGAGTGTTTCTACACAAAATGTTTACAATATTCAAATTTAAGGAAATAATTATATTATTTGAAATTTAAATATATACAAATATTAAATGGATTTATCAATGACAAAATTCAAGGGCACAAACCAAAATAAAATTACCATATTGAGTTAAGTAATATGAAAAGAAAGGATAATTATTTAAAAAATTGGGTAGCATTGATGAAAATATTTTTATTATTAAATTAAGAATTAAGACTCAATGTAATGTATTAACTAGAATAATAATAAAAAGAAAAAAATAATTTTGTTTACATAATTGCTGGAAATATGTATGAAAATGATTTTGAAAATTAACAATAAGCATACAATTAATTCCACTTTTTATATAATGAACGAATCACAAGAATTCTCATAATAAATAATAAAATATTCAATAAATAAAATTTGAAAAAACAAAAAACAATTGATTATACTGATGACTAACTTAGATAAAACTAATAAATGTGTATTATGTAGATAAATAAAAATAAAAATGCAAGGTGTTATTTGTTTGCTTTTATAGTTGTATATTAAAATCAAAAATCTTAAATAAAAAGTTAAGTATAGAAATTTTACTATAAACTAACAAACTATTGCTTAATACATAAGATAATTTAAGTTTTGAAAAAATTATGGATAATAAAATAAGAACTAGTAGTTAGAATTTGGTTATCAATTGTTAGTGACTAATACTTAGAATTTAAATGGAATATAAACACAAATTAAAATCTCCTGTACTTAATTAGTAAGAACAGCAGTTCCTTAACTTTTTTGGGTCACATATTTCCAAAATAAAAATTAATTTAATTATACCTCCTATGAATAAATAATTCAATATTTTTCATTATTTAAATAAAAGTAAATTATTGTTGATCTAAAAATAAATATATGGTAATGTAATAAATTAATATTTGACTTGCGTTTTATAGGGGATGTACACTTAATAGTTCTGCTAAGTTAGAATAATGAAAATCTTACTACTGTTTAGTTTTTAATAATATACAGAATTAAGTCTTATTAATTGAAGCAGTTTATTATTTTAATATAAATAATAATAAAATTGTATAACAAAAAGACTAAGAGAAAATATTTTAATAACAATAAATGCTCTAAATAATAAAACTTAATAAATACCAATATCATATAAATAATACTTACTAATTTATTAAATGAAGCTAACATAGTAAGCTTTTCCCTGTTATTACCATTATAAAAAGCTATTTCTTCAGAATTAGTGATTAATCTAGAGTTAATATAACGGTATTCCCCTTCTAATTTTTGTTCCGTAACAGTCATTCTTCCAGTTGGTCGACGCAAATAAGTAAGAATAAAACCAGACACCATCAAATATCCCAACATTACAGAAGGTGTCTGAAAATATTTGTAGTTAAATATATTTTAAAATTAAGAATGGAATATTTTTTTTAAACATACTTTGAATCCTAGTGTAGTTGTTAATTGGTAAACATATATCACAATGTCTAAATAAGGTTTACAGATATTGGAATATAAATCAGTAAATGAATCACAGAACTTATCAACATCAGCTGTTAATAATTGGTCAGGGTTGGATATTCGGTTGTCCAAATTGTTAATCTTATAATATGTATACCCTCTAAACATTAAAAATTGATAATTGTTGATTTCAAATAAGTTAAGTATACAACTACCTCAAATAATCATTATATAAATGATGGGTTAGTCTCGTTCTAAGTCGTAATTTCAATTCTCCAATACTCCACTGTAAAACGTAGTATTATGAATTAATAATATTATTCACTCAACTGTTATTAATTCTTATCAATCAACTTTGATTTATATTTACCTTTAACACATTATTAACCAAAGAAATCTGCAAAGCATAATTAAAATATTATGAAATATAAACAATACAAAGTTTAAATTAAATTAAACTGTACTTACAATAGGCATTCCAGCAAAAAAGTATAACAATTGTTTTTTAAACAAATCTGTATTCATACTAATAATTGCTGTTTCAACAACAGTTCCAGTCTGTATCATCCATATGTCACTATAAGATCTGGCTATTAGTGATGCAGCAACAAGTAGGAGGAACCCAAATTCCGGAGATGCAAAACCAGGAATAACAATTTTTAATATTTGAAAGAGTTGCTTAATGAAACGGGCATTTACATGAGCCTTGTTATTTTTCCCTTCAGTTGATTTCTGTATAAAATAATAAAAAAATTTTTTAATTAAAATTTGATTATTATTGGTAATTATAATACAATATTAATTAAAAATTCAGTTCTACTCAGAAATGAAATATTTTTTACTAATAATTAAAATAGCTGAGTTATTCATTATAAAAAAATAAATCCTATTGTGTTCAAATTAGTTGAGTCATAGTTTGAGAAGTCATTTAAAATAGCTTCAAACATATTGGAGTAATTTATGGAGGTAAACATATTGAATGCTTCAGATTTGAGTAAGGCAAGTATATTGGTTTTGAATTTTTTTTTTATCTGGAAATATTAATTTAGTTGAAAAAATTGCACCCTAACTTTAAGCACATTATTTTGTTTCCTGTTTGTTATTTAATACTTAAAAAAAGAAAAAATTTATTTCAAAAATCTGAAAATTGAACACAAGGATATAATTATTTCTTATCAGTTATCAATATAAATTTTTAGCTTTAATAATGTAATAACGGCAAAAATTGTTATAACAGTTTTCTTTCTTTTTATATTCTTTTGAAACAAATTTTGTACTTATACAGTAATTAACTTTGTTACACACATTTTTATACATTATTAGTTTTTTTTTTGAACTTATAGGAATTTAAAAAAATAATTTTTTAAGCATGACTTTTTGATAGACATAGCATAACATTTTTGAAATGCACCTACTTCAAAAAAAAATATGTACAGATTTATAAAAATAAAGTATATCATCAAAAGCCTATTATATTTTTAATTTTAATTAGAAGTTACCTATTACTAATATAATATCTAATAATTAATAGTAATAATACTATTATGTATATTAATATTATAAATATTATTACTAGTAATAGTTTTATTAAGAACAAAATATTCAAATTATTTAAGATAATTAATAAGACTAGAAATGAGAAAATTATTAATAAAGTCTTATGAAATTTAGATTAATCTGTATTTACAAATTGTATAGTATAGAATATAACAATTTAATGGTTTATTTGTAAAATTATAAATGTCTATGTATTATTAATCATAATCCCTTTTCAATTTTTTTTTTTATGTGAAAATATTCTATACGGATTTCATTCAGATTTTTCCTCTTGGGCAGTAACCATTTTCGAGTATTACCTTTTTCGCTTAACGCTCGATACCTATTATATTATTAATAGGAGAGGCAATTTTTATGACAGTTATATCTGAAGTTCTACCGGACCGATTTGCATAATTATTATTTAAAACGTGATTATTTTGTATGGAGATGAGCCATCTAATGATAAAAATTCATAAATGTAATCAATTAAATAGTTATTAGAAATGTTAAATTTATATAGGTTCGGCAACAAGACTGCGGCGCGGCGTGGTGGCACGAAACAGCAACACGGAGGGAAAGTTTGGGCGGTCACATCAGAGGCGGACTGGCCAGGGGAGTTGAGGAAATTTATTTCCCTGGGCCGGTGACAATTATTATATTATGTGTTAGCTAGAAGCATTAGAATAATAAAATTTATTTTGCATCTGACATTATAATTATGCTTATTATAATAAAAGGAAAGTAATAATTAATTATATAATAATATAAATTAGGCAATTGTTAAATTAATAGGAAATATTTAATATTTATTCTAATTTTATAATAATAATATTATCGTATACCTATATTTCGATGGTATACCTCTACTTGAGAACTCAAACGAACATAAATTAACCGGTTATAGATCGGACAGAGGAATAAAACTTAGTATTATGGCTACACAAAAATAAAACAATAATTTACACTAAATACCAGTGGCGTAATTTTGGGGGGGGGGATATGGAGATATATCCCCCTCCAGACGCTTTTTTTAAGAATAATTATAATTAAATCTCCGTAAGCACTAAGCTTTAAAAGATTTTAAGATAAGAAATAAGAATACATGGATATTATCATAGTTGAGATTTTTTTTATTTTACTAATATAAAACTACGATAGTTCAACAATTATAAAATATGACAAGAAAATTGAAAATTGTATAGCTCAGAGTAAAAATATAATATATAATTGATAAATCTACAATTTACCACTCTTGTTTAGTGCTTAAAGCATGCAATATTTCACAAAAACGTGAAACATTGAAATTTTTTCTAAAACAAATATTAATGTTAGTTATTTATCAATTATTTATTATATAATCTAAAAGTTCTTATTATAATCATTAATATTAATGAAATGAGTACAGTGGTTAACATATTACTATAATAACTATATTATACTATATATATTGGGTCTTGTTTTCGACTATTTATAGCATTATAGCAAAACTTGGTTTATTTTCCTAGGAAATTGCTTTTGACGAAACAAACATAAAAAACCTCGTGTCTCCGATACATAAACATGGTTTGTAGGCCAAAATAGCTAAATAATTAACTGCTAATATGAAAATCGCGAATTGACAATAACGAATTTTAAAATAAACGATCATACATAATAGCGGAATTGCAGTTTTTTGTAATTTCTATTTTTAATACTATATATTTTAATATAGTACTTGAGTAAGTTTCAAAACTTATAAAACTATAACTTATTTTATTAATAATTAATATTTTTAATAATATAATAAATATTCTTTAAGAGGAAGTCTCCCTACTATATGGAAATTTATTGATGTAATAGAGAAAATTCGAAATTTAGAAAAATTAAAACGAGAACAGTATAATTTTGGAGAACAAGAGAAGAAAAAAAGTTCAAGGACTGCGCTAAAAGATTTAATTTGTTAATTACAAATTATAATACTAACGATAATATTAACTTTGTAAATTGTACAGTATATAATTTTTCACTAAATTCCTAATTTTTTTTTTCAAAATTATTATCACTAAATGCCTATTGTATATTTTCCCTCTTTTTTAAAATTCGTTGTTTTTATTTTCGCCATTATCAATTCGCAATTTTTACTTTCGTGGTTATTATTTCGCTATTTTGACCGGATATCCGTAAACATATATACGCTCCCCGATCTAAAGCTCGCATTGCCCTATTATTACGGTATTCACGTTCTTAAATATAATTTTACAAATTGCTACTCCAACTCATTTGCTTCATTTGTCTGTCTTATACTATGGAATATGAAACAGTGGTATTTATGACAAATTTTATTATTATTATTTTAATACTATTATACATCATTTTGTATATGAAAATAGATCTGGCACATACAATATGAATCATATTATATTATGTAAATGTCTAATTGTTAGGTACATTTTAATATTATACTAAAAATACGTGCTGAAAATCAAGTTTATTTATTCAGTAATATTGTATTAGGTGATAATTAAAGATACGAGTAGCATTGTATGACGTTGTTCAAGGCCGGGGTGGATCTACCAGAAGTTAACATGCAGACATAAGTAAAAATTATTGATTCAGTTTTTAAAAGTTGTATAGAATTAAGGTTAATTTATAAATTATATGTTTTTAGAAGTCTGTTTGATTTTTGAATAATAAAACGGATCACTAGATTATCAAATTTTTCTGGACCGTTTTGTGACCAGCCGCCTCTGAGCCACATACACATAACCCGCCTGGTCATTGTCGTACCCCGAACCTCACCACCATTAGATAACCCATCGCATGATTCAACTAAACAAAGATAGAATGGTGGCATAGAAATGCGTTCTCTCTTTGAACATATACACTTCTTAAAAATGTTCAATCCTATCCTACAAATAATATTAAAAAACGTGTTTAAATTTAGAATATTTTCTTCAAATTCTACATAATAAATCTATATTTCTAAGCTCATATATATGTTTTCACATCTTCTGAGGGTTACTCGTGATATTTTCCGGTTATTTTTTAATAAAATATATATGAATGTTAATTAAATTAACGAATAAGTCAATGACAACATCAAAAACTAGAAAAGTACACATTTAAAGTATATCATAAATCTATTATATACATCTAAGGTGAAGATAGATATATTTTAATTAATTAATATATGAATAATTTAAATATTTTTCAAGAATCAGTGTCAAGAATAAATTCAAAATGTTTTTTAAAGGTATTCATTCAAAATTGGTATGAACAATTTTTTTTTTTATATAATTTACCATGTTACCAAGTATTAAACACTTGGTTTGTTACTATAATTTTATTTAATTAATGGTAGTTTATTAAAAATGTGTTACATTGATAATCTGTAACTGTTAATAGAAAAAATTATATTTTGAAAAAATATTACAAAGTGCATTATGACTGAATGTTTACAATATTTTAAGTTATATAATCCATTTAAGTTATAAAGGTTATCCACTTATAGAGATTTTTTGTCTAAGAAGTACAAACAGGTTAGACCTGTTATAAATAGAAATAAACAAGGTATTTTATATTTAAAATTATATTTTATAGGAAAGTCATATTTTAATATTGCTTGCATTCTATCCTCCCCAGAAAACTCAACATTACCATTTTTAATTCAAAATCGTTTTGCAAATATATTTTGCTCCAATTTTAATCAAAAAAAACTTCTGGGTTTAAGACTGTTGAATGAAATGTCGCTCACTAATATTGATCTAAATTTAATTATCAAACGAGAATGCAGTGTGGTGCCTCCTTGGAGGGCTCCATCCTTTCATGTGGACACCAGTCTAGCAGATTATAGCAAGAAAGAAACATTTAATATTATTTATAAAAATCTATTCAATGAAATCATGGACTCTTTTCCATTTAACCCACAAATCTATACAAACGCTTCCAAAATCAACTCAGGTGTTGCGATCGCTATCATAAACGGCAATCAATATATATCGTTCAAACTAATAGACCATAACAGCATTTATAGGTTGGAATACTTAGCTCTCCTGGAGGGGGTCCAACTAGCCATTCAATTGCCTGATCCGACCACTCAAATTTGTACAGATTTGCTTAGCGCTCCTAACAACCTGAAGTATAACTTGCATTCAAGCACCCTAGCAATTAAAATAAGCAACATTATTGAAAAAGCCAACAAGAGCATATGATTTATATGGACACCAGGCTATTGTGGAATAGATGGCAACGAGAGTGCCGACAAAGTAGCTCGTGAAGCAGTAAATAACCCTCTCACTAAAACATGCAAATACTCCTCACTCATTGACATCTATAGCAATGTCAGCAGTTTTTGTACCAATCTATGGGAATCCAAATGGCGTCGTCCTTCCAATAATAAGCTCAAAGAAATAAAAAATACTACCACATACTAGCCCAAATCCCATATCTCCAATTGGAAAGATAAAGTAGTTATCAACAAAGAACCGTTCACAGTCAAGCACCTTCTTATCCAATGCCGTAACCATTCAGACACCAGGAAAATACTAGAAATGCCCGATAACCTCTTGGAAGTCCTCAGCCCAACCCATGACAATACCAACAAAATAATTTTATTCCTCAAACAAACTCATATGTACAACCTAATTTAAGGACCTACTGTAAATTTATATGTAACAAAAACAAATTCATATGTTAAATTAATTTAAGAAACTATTATACCGTTTATATAACCTAATACCATCTTTTTTTATTTTTGTTTGTTTGCATGCTAATAACCTTAGCAGTTGATGCTGTACCATGAATAATAATAAAAAAAAAATATGTATGCACTATTATCAGTATTTTTATTTGATTAATTTAAAATTAATTATCTAAAATTAAAATATTTATAAACATTTGGTTTTAAAAATAACATTAATTTTACTATTTATAATTGAAAAAATTAATTAAATTTTGGTTGATTAGAAGTTTAATATTTTTTTTTTTATACATATTAAAAATAAGTATTTAATGGCCCTAAAAAATTTAATATGCCAACCGTTTATCAAAATCATGAAAAAAATAATATGGTACTAAAAGAATTGGTTTTAAGTTTTGGTTATATATTAATACATTACTTTTTTTTATTTATATTACAAATTTGAATTTTGAAATGGAAATATATTATAAAATAGATTGTATAGTAGGTATATTAATAGCTTTTTAATTTATTTTGTGTTAGCTTTCAGTGTACACCAGTGCTTCCCAATTGGTGGTCTGTGTGTTGATTTTAGGGGGTCCGCAGCTGTGTAGCACTGAAATGATTTTTTTATTTTATTTTAGTGAAATTATTAACTTTGTAGTCCGAAATTCCGGGTATTTTTGGAATACTGAAACTATATTATCGCTATCATCAAATTAAAATAAATCGTACATTTTTTTTTCAATTTTATGTTAAATAAAATTGAAAGGTAATTATTCACAAAAAAGGGGTCCCCAGACCAATTAAAGTTGTAGCTAGGGGTCTGTGGCTTCACACTAATTGGAAAACATTTGTGTATACTATTATAGATTAAAAGGTAATAGTAAGTATAAAAATAAGAAGTTATACAGTTAGTTAAGAAAGAAAAATAATAGCAGAATATAAATAATAGAAAGAAATATAGTATAAAAATAATATAATTAAATATTATATGATCACTGTGATTTGAATAAGTAATAAAATTACTTTTTACGGTTAAGTTTTAAAGATACTATAATTACATTTTTTTTTTTTTATTATTTTAAACAAGTAGGTAGTAGCTTTCTTTGGCTTTAACTTATGCTAACTTATCTTTTTTGCTAATGCGTAATCACAAGACAATTACTTATACATAAAAAAGCATGATTGATAAATCACTTGTCATAACAATTGCTTATATATTTTTGATTATGAAAAATTAACAATACAATGGGATATACTGAATGGCTTTAATGAGAGTTTATATAAATCAATAATTTACAAATTACAAAAATAAGTAAGTTTTTTGTAATTTAGAAATAGTTATTTTATTATTATTATTATTATAACATTTTTTGATTTGAATAACATTTAAATAACAAAACTATTTTAAGACTGCGAATCATTCAGTTTCATTATATTACCATTTTTTAAAATTAGCTTTCATAGGTATTATTAAAATATTTGGATAATCAGCCAAATAAGTAAAAATTAATAATAATGAAACTCACAAATTTTCATGCCCTAATAGCACTATAACTTTTTTGTACTTAAAATTTCAATCCACTAATTATATTTTATAGTGATAAGGTCATTAAATAAGGTCAGGAAACTTTATTTCCTTTATTCATATTTATTTTATAAATTAAACTACTAAGTATAAAATTTACCTTACTATAACCCTCAAACCTTAAAAATTAAAAATTTGGCATGGAATGACAATATTTATAAATTTTATAAACGTTGGAATGAGATAAAATAGTTTATTACTAATTTTATTTATTTATTCAGTTATTTATTAATAATGTTTTGGTTAAAAATATAGTTTTATTAAAATTGTAAATAAAGATTTTATAAATCTAGTTTTCTAATGTGTTATAAAAAAATATTAAATTAAGTTTTTTTATTTTTTAACAAACACTAATTATAATAACAGAAATAAACCTATTTATATTTAATTGTATGCTTAAGATTATTGTAAAAATATTACATTCAGTCATTCATGACTCACAACACTTTTTAAAGCATTATTGTTTCTATGGAACTTAATATAAACATATTTATGTTAAATTTTAGGTTTTTTCTTAAAACATTTCAAAAATACTTATCGTTTTACAAATTTCAGCAAGTTATAAACAAATAAATTGAAATTACTTTGAAAGTAATTAAAATAAGTTATTATTATGATTTATAAAATAAAAAGAAAATTAACCCTAAAAGATGAAATTATATTTCAAAATTTATTATTATATATAAAATATCATTCAAAGTTTTAAGTTTAAATAATATCTATTTGATGTTTCAGTGATTTTACTGAACTAAATGTCATTGTCTTTATTATTTGGTATAAGTATATAAATATATAATGTGGATGACCTTATTTCAACACCTGTTAATTAATTCAACATATTAGTAAATTTAGTAAAACATGAATAAATTAACATTTGAAATAATAGTATATGCTATAACAAGTGTTAGTAAGTTATTCTTTCTCTGAGAATGCAAATTTACTAAGACATTAACCAAACACTTTTAATTCATACAATCCTAAATTTATTCAGTGAGCTAAAAAAATATCAATGTTAACAATACCATTTTGTTTTAAAATATTAGGTACTAATACCTAAAAAATAAAATATTTTCTAAATTATTTTATTGAAATACATTGTAATGTAGGTAAAGTAAATATTAATAAGTACTAATAAACAAAATTAAAAATACATATTTTATGCAAAAGATGAGATACTTATTAAAAACTTTAAAATGTATACTTATGATTTTTTCCATATATATATATATATAATTTAACAGTAAACATTTTTTAGAAATATAATGTAGGGTTATCATATAGTTGATTACATTTTAAATACTGATGTTACTCAAAGATCTAATATTTATTTTATTCAGAAGTTTTTAAAATATTAATAAAACTGTAGGCAATCTTAGTATAAACTCAATAACCTAACTCTGTTTAAAGTAAAATATCCTGTATTAAATATTTCTTCTGGTGATTGTGTATTAAAATAAAAAAACACTCTTGTAAAAAATATTTTTATTATTTAGTTTAATGAGAATGAATATTTATGTATAGATTAATTTTAAATTTATTCTTTGTTAAGATAAATAATTTTTCTAAATGTACCAATGTAATAATTTATTTCTTAAAATAGTTAACTCATTTCAATAGATTATTTGCCTATTAAGAAAATAAAATATTCATAGAACTTAAATTTTTAATTTTAAAGCAGTATTTTTTAAAATGAAAAAAAGTTAAAAGGATTTGAACCTTAAAGAATAAATAATATGTTATGGTCGTAGAAAAATTTAAACAACTTACATCAACTATAAGGTACTTGATATCATTTTCAGGAGCTTTCCTACGAAACAAAAAAATCAAAAAATAAATACTAAATAACATATAAATGTAAATAGGAATTAATATATTATAAAATATTTTAATGAACTATAATAAAATGTATAGAAAGTAATACACGAAAAAATGAACGAATGAATGATCTCTTATGTAATATAATATGAGCTACCTTTTAACGAATTTTTTCTTTTGAAAAGCGTATTTCTTTAACAGAAAAACAACCAAAGGCACTCCGGCCACAGCTCCACCGATGAGGGCATTCTTTTGAGACACGTATTTGCTCAAAACGGGCGCCATGGTCTGCACAAACACACACTAAACTAGTTGAGTCACGGTAAAAGAGATAACGCCATGCAACGAAAAGAGAGAGATGAGGAGAAAAACCTTGTGAAAGTTCACGAAATCGAAAGGAAAATGAACGAAATGAATCCGAAAAACGAAGTGGTAGGATAATAGGATTGGCACTACTTGCTGCCGTGCATGTCGATCGGAATCGTAATTATCGTTATTGGAAGGCTGACGGAGAGCAAGAGATTGCTGATTGACGCGATGCATCCACCACGAAGTCGTTATGCACACGGACCGCGCTGATGACCCATAACCGTCATGTTTGCGGTGGTCGCTGACTTGTTGAACCGCGAAGAAAACGATTCACGATTGACGGTCTGTTATTCCATTCCACCACTACGGCTGCCGGAGAAGAGGAAAAAAATATCATTCGAGAAAGAGAGGGACGAGAGAGTGTGAGAGAGAGATTGAGAGAGAGGGAGAGCGGAAAAAGAGACAAAAGAATAACGAAAACAACCTGTAAGTCGTTGTCGTACTTCTGCGGCGCGGTGTACGCAACCTGCTGATTATTGAGCGGTGGTTGTCACGAAATCGGCAAGTATTTCGATAATTTATTCTCCGCGTGTGCGAAACAAAAAACGTAGCATTCCGCGCACACAAATGTGAAGGTTGTCGATGGAAAAATAATACATCAAACGAGTAACATTATTATTATTAGGTAAGTATACGTCGTCGGACGATAACTTTCGTTATCTACCACGGTTATCAATTGGTGTTATCAATCGGTGGAGTGAACGCGGACTGATAACGTAACGTTCCGTATCTTCACGGCTCGGGGAGACGATTTGAATACGGAATAGTGATAAGGCCGTACACTATAGTTGCGACGATCCGTCACTGGAAAATAATACCGCGTACTATTCGTTTCGCCGTACACATTGCCTATTCGAAGCGCCGTTAAACCGTGTAGTCAACAGTACGATTTAATTTTTTTCAGTGGTGCAGTGGGAGGCAGGGGCTGATCTACGGGAGGGGGATATAGAGGATAGAACCCCCCCCCGTGGGCCGTCGATTAAACCATTTTTTTTACAACCAATGTAATATTTGCGTGCACAATTTAAATAAAAACTATTTTATTTAATATTTTGTTTCTATTATTTCGTAATCAAAAAGGATACACGTATTTAATTTCATATCAGATTACAGATATACATCTCGTACTTATACCATGACCCGGGATACAGCCATAGAGTAATTGGTACCATATTAATATATGAAATAGAGTACTATTGCTTTATGGATACAGCTGAGCTAACGTTCTCAACATTAAAAAGACTAAAAACTTATTTGAGAAATTCTATGGGCCAGGTTGCTTTATAGTATATATTAATTACATTTTAACATAATTTGATTTTCTATTTTTTTTTTCATGTAGAAGCGACTGAATGGGCTTGCCATGTTGTCTGTTCATAGGACAATACAAGTAAAACCCGATAAAGTAATTTGATGTAATGGCACATTCATCAAGAAAATTAAATCTTGTTTTATAAATTTAGTAGAATAAAGCTTATACATCTATACATATTACATACGAAAATATTTTACATCCCTCCCCCCTATGAGAAAATCCTAAATTCACCACTGGTGGAACGTGTACACGGGTATACGGCGTATAACGGACATGTCCATTTTTTTTGGTCGACGCTAGAGATGATCCGATGCACTCGATGCAATAATATTAAGACTTGGCCCTTACTCGGCGTAACACTAAATTTCCCCTCGGCCATTACCAGGTACGCGGTTACAATGTTGACATTTTTTTACTCGGTTAATACTCGGTGCTCGGATTGAAATCAATTTTCTACATGGAACATCACTGATTGATGCGTATATTTCAGAGGAGTACATAGGATTTTTTTATGGGGGAGAGGATCCAACATTTTTATTTTATCTGTTCTCTAATTATAATTATAGCTTAATTCAATACCAAAGAATTACTGTTAATAATTATAGTATGGTTTATGAATTATAGGTATATTATATAATCTATAAACTTCGTATATTGAAGATAATGGGAAATTAAAATGCACTATATACCTATTACTATGTTATTTACTATTAAACCATTGAGTAAGTAGAAATTTCAATGGGGGTCCGGACCCAACCTCTCTACCATGGGTATATTCCTGGTATACTTGCAATATAATTTATGATGCGCAGGTATACGGGTATACTAGGCTATACCGTAAATTTAATAATTATATTTTTCTACAAAAAAAACAAAAATACCAAAAATTCCGTGTTATCACGTTCAAGAAGAACGGTTATTATTTTTTACATACTTTTATTTAATGCATTTCAGTACACTTTCAATACTCAACAATTAAATGAAAATAAATTTATGAAATCGATATCGAAATTAAACGTATGATTGTATTAATTGTATTTTATATTATTTTATTTTGGACATAGATGCATAGGTAATGACGTAGTGCATACTGAAAAGTGACAGTCTCGGACCAAGATTTTGATATTCTTATTAACCAATTATTTCCTCACATCAGATTATTTATATACTATGTGTGTGTGAATGCTGTGTGGTCAATTTTTGTTATTATTATTATTATTATTATTATTATTATTAATATTTATTTTTATATACATATTTTTTTATTATACTTTATAGAATAAACAAACTAAAATTATTATAATACTGATGTTATAAATTTGACATTTTCAAATATTTTTTGGGAGGAGGGGGTGGAAACCCCCAACACCATCCCATAAATACGCCTCTGTCATTGCGTGCCACTAACTGAACCTTAAAAATATATATCATAAAATAACTCGCGCAAAGCTAACTAAAAAATTTATTTTAATCATTAACAATTTTTTCCTAATTATTGTTCGACATACTATTGAAAATATTATAAGCAAAATATAGACGATTTAAAAATACAATTTTTTGAATTTCAGGCATTAATATATATACTCTTATATTTCTAGTATATTTATAAATAAATCATTATTGATCACATTGCAAATTTACAACACTTGCAGTTACCGGCGATTAAACGATATCTGTTGAAAAAGAAATTCAGAAAAATCGATGTAGAAACGATGTATGTTATACATACATATATATATATATATATAGCGTAAAGTAAGTTAAGTTCGAGTAAAAGTACATTAAAGAAAACATCAGCTAAATTGTCAATCGTTTTTAATGCGAAACGTCGAAGCGAAATAGTATTTCACGTTTTGTGACATTCACGATTCATGCCTTCTCTATTACACGTCAACCAATTATATTTTGCTTTGCTAGCAGTATCATATATATATACGATCATCCGATGAATCAACATGATAATAAGTCTATCATGTATCAAATAATACTAGCTCGTTTAGATTTTACTGAGCAATAATGGTTATGTACATGAAAATAATTAAATACAAATATTTTTGTTGAATCACGTGGGTAGCTGTATACTCGTGTGTGTACTACAAACTATAAATATGTAAAAATTATTATGATTAATTAAAATTTATCTGAATATAATAACATCGTGACATTGGTAAGATTTTTAAATATATTATGATTGATATACGTATAAAAATAAAACGCAATACCGATACACCCAGTGATCCATTATTGTTATTGTGGTATGCAAGTTTATCCCTGGACTTAGTACTTTATAATGGCTATAGTGTTCACTATTGAAGATAATAAATATATATAATGCACCAAAGGCTATAACTGATGTACGTTAAATGAAGTAGGCGATGCGTTCGGAAAATCAAAGTTAATTCATTTTTTCATCGTGTTATGAAAAAAAAAAATTACATACTCATGTACCTACAAACAGAACAGAAAATTCTGATTAACTTTAATAACTATCATACAGAATAATTTTTTGCGCCAAGGGAAATTTGTTTGTGGTGATATAATATATACAAACAGCAAATAATTAACATGTTATAATAGTTATAACAATAATAATAATAATAATAATGTCAAACAACGACGATAATAAATAGTAATCATGGGGTGATTTGCCATTTGTACGATGTTATATAAAAATTAACTTGGGATGATTAGTGCTATATGGCTTAAATTCAAAAAATTATAGTACAAAAATAAAGTCCAAGATTAAGTAACTTATATTTATTATCTACAAATAAAGATAATTTTGAAAAACGGTTAAAAAATCTGACTCCGATTCTAGAAGTATTTGGGAAAATTAAAAATAGAAGATTACAATTTCAAATTTTATATTAGTTCTTTTTTTTTAAATACGTATATATTTTTTTGTAATTAAGAGTAAAAATATATAGTTTATAATTACATTATATATTAAACTACATTTTATTTAACGAATAAAGAAAATATACTTATACATTTTTGAATAGGCATTAATTTTTTTTTATGTATTCATTTTTAAGGAAAAAAATTGACGATTAAGGATTAACATTGACTCAATAGCTTATTTATAAATTAGTTTATGTCCGTTCAAAATTTGAATCCTATAACTGCCTCTGGATACAGATACTTTTGGATTTGTCTCTTTGACACGTAAGGATGATATTATATTGGTCATGATTTATTGTAAAAATTGTTACTGGACGAAATAGATCGACTAACTCGGTGCACGCCATAACCTGTAAACAGGGTCGGCTTTAGAAATTATCAACGCGTGCGACGGCACAGGGTGCCAAAATCAGAAAGGCGCATGGGCGTCCATTGGGAGAGGGTGGTGGCAAGAGGGGAACCTGTTCCCCCTGGTTTTTTGGTACTTTAAATATTAATACCATGTAGTGGAAACGCCGCGTCCTAATTTTATATTTATACGTGTACCCTTTGTGTAACAAAAATCGCGTTACTCAGAAAATTATATTTTTATTTGTATTGGGAATATTAATTATTTTATTAAATTAGATTCAGTGAGAAAAAAAAAGATAAGCGTAATTTGTTCACGCGTACACAGATCTATTTTTAAACAATTTGGTTTTAAATAATTTTAAAAAAACCGATAACAGATAAGTAATAATTAGGGCTTGGAACTTAATGCACTTAAAAAGTACTAAATATGTATGCACTTATGCGCTTAAAAAAGTACAAATATGCTCTAAAAATATGCACTTATATTTAATTATTTTACACAACATTTTCATTAGCACAAATATTTTTTTAAATTTGTTAATAAAAAAAAAAGCAAAGTAATAAAAGTTATTTTTATTTATATTTTTTAATCATAATTTAAACAAAAAAATAATAAAAAAATCGCTTTAAAAATTAAAAATGTTCCTTGAGTAAAAAAATGCACTTCTGTCGAGTTATATTTATATACCTGAAATACATAACACAAATTACTAAATTAGAAAAACCACCAGGTACATGCCTAATTTAAAAGTATTTTAATTAATAATTAAAATGCATTGGATATAATTTTGTTCTTACCTTCCAAAGTGTTACATTGGACCACTAAACTTTTTTTAATGTTTTCAAAATTGAAAGATCGCCGATTATCCACGAGCAAAGTTTTGTACCTTGAAAAACTACGTTCAACATCAGTTAACGTAATCGGCGCATATTTGAAGTAAGTAATATTGTCATCGGTCAAATCATCAGAAGACCTTCCATTGAACTTTCTTGTCCACTTAATATTTTTGAAATATTAAGTATCGTTTTAAATCCACAATTTTTCTCCAATACATTATTGAATTTTTGAAATACCGCAACACC